GGGGGGGGGTAGGTGATGAGATGCTTCTATTGGCTCTCTTGATATCAGGATCTGAAGCAAACCGTTCGTAATCATTCTGTTTTTGTGGATCAGAAGCATCTGATGATTACTCGCGAGTCGAGCAAAATGAGCAAAACCAATACGAGGGTTTTCAAGAAACAATCATAGTCCTCCATGCACCTCATAGCTTCTCTTAAGGTGTAAGATGATGTGGTATATAAATGCCTACAGATGCTAATTTCTTCCCAAGGGAGGAATCAAAATAAAATTGACGAGCTACCAGATTATGCATATATAGAGACAACCGGCACAATTTTGCAGTGAAGTTCTAACTTTATAAGAGACATTTGAATAGTGGTTGTTACAGATGTCAGCATGAAACAGTCCATATAAGGTTGATTAAAATATAGAGTGTGCTTTTAAGTCAACACTTTTTCCTTTATCAAACACTTTACGTCAAACACTGTCTCTTTTAGGCATTGTCTACACTAGACACAAATCCGAAGTGATACAAACGCACAATCCACAAAATATCCAGATATTCGTGAGTCCTGACAACTGCTTCCATTCTCTGACAATGAATACGGGTATCAACATTTCGTCCACATTGATCCTCTCACAACCATGGGAGTTGGTCTCTGTACCCAATCAGCACGCACTGTTGAGTAACGAGGCGCAGATGGCCGTGGAGAAATACACCATTCTCTTGGCGACAACCCCCATGGTGCTTTTCGGAACTGCTGCCAACGTGATTAACATCGTGGTTTTCATCAAACAAGGCTTGGCCGACTGCGTCAACGTCTGTCTCTTCGCGCTCAGTGTCTCGGACTCTGCTAGCGTCCTGGCAGGGGGGGTGGTCAACGGGAAGTACATTCTGGATTATTTGGACATCCCAACAAACGTGGACTCTTCCAGTCTCCGCTTTGTTGCGACCTATTTGTGCACAATGTTCTACGACACTTCCCAAGCCATCATGGCCTTCATTGCCCTTGAGAGATGCCTTTGCGTGAGCATGCCTTTCCACTTTAAAGACATCTTCACGTTCAAGAGAGCAATAATTGCAGTGAGCTTGATCAGCGTGGGCACGATCCTAGCTTATATGCCACATTTTCTAACCTTCGGTCTACACTGGCGCTGGAACCCTGCGAGGAACGTCTCCATGCTGTACCTGTGGCAATCCCCAAACCGTCCAGTGATCAACCTGTACATCATTCTGTTCTTGTACATCGGGTTGACTACTTGTTATCAGATCATAGTGGTCATCAGCACGTACGTTATGACAAACCGACTCCGGCAGTCCTCACGACTCCAGAGAGGGATCCTGCCTCAAATTCGTGAAATTGGACAGAAAGAAGGAAACGACTCCGTTGGTAACGCGGGAGCGCACAACGAACATTCAGACAAAATAAACCAAGATGGACGAGAAAAATATGAACTCTCAACCATCGAACACAACAGACTGCCTCGTACTGAGAATAATCCACAGAATAAAGAATTAACAGTTGAGCAGGAAGCCACAAGGCCCGAGCTAAAGAAATCTAAAGACAATGACAGAACAGATGGCCAAGTAGGAAAACACAATGAAAGAAAACACCGTCGTGACAAGACACAGCAAATCCGAGACCGCCAAGAGTTGAAAAATCGAAACGTCATCAAGACAGTGACGTCACTGGCTATCATCGCCGCGGTCTGCAACGGTTTCCGGCTGCTCAACGTGTATGCGCAGGGAGTTGTACCAGGCTACTCGTTCGTGGGACGCTACCATAACCTGTTCGTGACAATCAACAAATTCATGTTCCTCCTGCAGACGACCAACGCCTCTGCCAACGTACTAGTTTACTACAACCTCAATCCTGGCTTCAGGAAGACGTTCAGACAAGTCTTCGGGATGCGTTCACAAAAACAGTAACGGCTCTCCAACCCGGTTGTGTCTGGGCGGTGTAACCATGTCCTTCCTGCTTTTCCCAGCACTCGATGGCCGTTAACACCCTGATGTGCTTCTCTTTGGCTCAGACAAACAAGCTTTAAAAAGTAGGTAACAGGGTCCCCCCCCCCCTCTCTCTCTCTCTACCCCAGTCATACCCATCAGCAGCCACACTGATCAAGTGGTTCAAGTGTTTAGTTTCAATAAAAAGAGTTTAAAAGCACTTGCAAAACATTAGGTTATACAAGTGCCAAACATTAGAGGTATTACTAGAAAGTAACATACCAAGACAAGAATGGGGAGAGATAAGGACGATATATCGTTTGATAGGAAAGAAGGAGCAAACCACGCCAACCATCCCCTGAGCGAACGCAAATTCCGAAAGAAAGTCGAGTATTGTCGACGCAGACGGTTTGAGACGGGTGTGTCTGGACAGTGTGTTTGAGAAAGACGAATTAACCAAGCCTATATACAGGACAAAGGTTACACTACCACTACCAGTGCGGTGTCGGTGCAAAACATGTATGAACTGAAACGTCATCAAGACAGTTACGTCACTGGCTATCATTGCTGCAGTTTGTTTGCAACGGTTTCCAGCTGCTCAACGCAATATGAACCGAAAGTTCTCTTCTTTGTACTGTATGAAAGCGTACATTTTAAATGTATATCCGTAGTTTTGTAAAGATAATGTCAGTAAATAAAAACGAAGGTGGCTATTTTGTTGTATTTGTTGTTGGTTTTTTCCCCGGATCAAATAGCTTT